GCAGACTGAAGGCCCATATATCCCACAGGGGAGACTGAAGGCTCACAGATCCCACATTGGCAGACTAAGGCCCACAGATCCCACAGGGGCAGATTGAAGGCCCATATATCCCATAGGGCAGACTGAAGGCCCACAGATCCCACAGGGGCAGACTAAGGCCTACAGATCCCACAGGGGCAGACTGAAGGCCCACAGATCCCACAGGGGCAGACTGAAGGCCCACATATCCCACAGGGGCAGACTAAGGCCCACAGATCCCACAGGGGCAGACTAGGGCCCACAGATCCCATAAGGGGAAGACTGAAGGCCAACATATCCCACAGTGCAGACTGAAGGCCCACATATCCCACAGGGGCAGACTAAGGCCCACATATACAACAGGGGCAGACTAAGGCCCACAGATCCCACAGGGGCAGACTGAAGGCCCACATATCCCACAGGGGCAGACTAAGGCCCACAGATCACACAGGGGCCGGACTGAAGGCCCACATATCCCATAGGGCAGACTGAAGGCCCACATATCCCACAGGGGCAACTGAAGGCCCACATATCCTACAGGAGCAGGCTAAGGCCCACATATCCCACAGGGGCAGACTGAAGGCCCACATATCCCACAGGGGCAGACTAAGGCCCGCAGATCCCACAGGGGCAGACTGAAGGCCCATATATCCCATAGGGGAGACTGAAGGCTCACAGATCCCACAGGGGCAGACTAAGGCCCACAGATCCCACAGGGGCAGACTGAAGGCCCATATATCCCATAGGGCAGACTGAAGGCCCACAGATCCCACAGGGGCAGACTAAGGCCCACAGATCCCACAGGGGCAGACTGAAGGCCCACATATCCCACAGGGGCAGACTAAGGCCCACAGATCCCACAGGGGCAGACTAGGGCCCACAGATCCCATAAGGGGAAGAATGAAGGCCAACATATCCCACAGGGCAGACTGAAGGCCCACATATCCCACAGGGGCAGACTAAGGCCCACAGATCCCACAGGGGCAGACTGAAGGCCCACAGATCCCACAGGGGCAGACTAAGGCCCACAGATCCCACAGGGGCAGACTGAAGGCCAACATATCCCATAGGGCAGACTGAAGGACCACATATCCCACAGGGGCAGACTAGGGCCCACAGATCCCACAGGGGCAGACTAGGGCCCACAGATCCCACAGGGGCAGACTAGGACCCATAGATCCCACAGGGGCAGACTGAAGGCCAACATATCCCATAGGGCAGACTGAATGACCACATATCCCACAGGGGCAGACTAGGACCCATAGATCCCACAGGGCAAGGCAGGTCGACAAGGGGAAAGGGGCTACTCTCCTTGCATCATGGTACAGATATCCTCCATCAAGCAAACAGCTCCACGTCAATGCAACACAAGTCTGCCCCTAACACACAATACTATTCGTAATGTCTGGAGTGATGAGTACACTCTGACAAGTTAACAGACATATGCATTATCCCTAATTCATAAAACATACATACCTTCTCTTAACATTGACAAGTAAGATTAACATACACAACTACAGATTTATCCTCATATTTCTGCCGATCGCGACTGAAGACAAAGGTTAAACAAACCATGACGAAAGCTCTTATGACACTCATGGAACGAAGCAGGCACTTCCTTGTGTTGACATTTTCTACACGTCTAACAACTGTGTGAGCAGACTTGAGTTTTGTTTGGGCGTTGAAGCTAAGTACACATGATACTTGATCAAATATTTGCTTCTTGTACAGAGGTTGGGGATCACTCCTGTCACTTTACCTGTCAAAGACTGACACTTGCAACGTGCTGATGTCAGCTAACCCTACACCAGGATGTCAACTAGTACTCGCATCTGATGCAGTTAACAGCCCAAAGTCATGAAGTTAACCAGCCCAATACTTGATGTTAACCTCTTACCATACCCACATTATGATGTTAACAAGCCCCAAATCTTGATGTTCACAAGCCCCAAGTTTTGATGTTTACCACATACCAGACCCGTATTACAAAGTTAACAAGCCCCAAGTACTGAGGTTAACAAACCCTAGGTCGTAAGGTTAACAAGCCCCAAGTCATGAGGTTAAACACTTACCAGACCCATATTACGATGTTAACTAGCCTAAAACCTTGATGTTAACCACATATGATGTTAACCAAACCTGAGGATGATGTTAACCACCCCAAATCATATTAACCAGGTCACTATTATGTTAACCAGCCCCTAGTTATGAAGTTATCTTCTAACCAGACACATGTATTATAAAGTTAACTACTTATCAGCTCCATACCATGATGGTCACTAAGCCATCCGCAAGACATGAGGTTCACAAGCTCAAGTAAAGATATTTACAAGCCCTTGACTATCATGTTAACCAGCCCTAAGTCATAACATCAACTATCTCCCAAAGCCAGTGTCTAATAGACTGTCTCTCAGTAAGGAGAGCCAATGACAGCACATATGTAAGGAGAAAACGATGAGAAAAGGCAATTTCTAACATCAAACAAACCCTGCCAGGCCAATATGGCAGCCTATCCTGATGTCAACAGCCCGATGCCACATATGTTCATGCCTGTATCAATCTTCCCGAGGCAAGAGAGTTAACTGACTTTAAAAGTCCAGTTTCCAACCTTGCCGAACTAGGCTGGAATCACTGGGCTCAATTGTAGCGCCACCAGTGGCTATTACCAGTTTTGTCCCTTCTAAGCCTCTCCTATGGACCAATCAGATTCCAACTCTCGTATCACTTGCGTTTGATTCACACAAAATGGTGGCGCCCAGTCAGGACGATCTGATCGATAATCAAGATCTATATTGTGATAAAACGGGTCTTCCATCGCGAAATGCATCAAATCACGTGAGCACCTTGATTAAAGACATCAAAAGATTTGGAAAACATCTGCTGACAACGAGTTGGCGGTGCACATGCTTTGCAAATCCTGTAATCGATAGAAATCTGCACGACAGTTTACGAACCGGATTTTGATTTCGGTGCGCGAGTTTGATTGGACTATGCATAGACTCGTTAGTCAAGCAAAATATAACTCCATAATACCAGCCTAGTTCGGCAAGGGTGGAAACTGGACTTTTATAGTCAGTTAACTCACTTGCCTCGGGAAAATGGCCTGTGTCTTGCTCTGCCAGTTGATGAGTGGGACCTGAGTATTGTAAGTGACAACTTCAGATATCATGTATGATAGGATGTAAGGTCGGACATGATCACTAGTCTGTTAGTCCAATTCTAAACCTCGACATAAATATTTTACTGCTCAAATCTATTGGTAGTTACTTTATACAAAAAGTTCGAAATAAGCTGTGGACTATTTGGAAATGATCCCCGTGCCTAATCTAGTGGTCTTCTGGATAGAGTCTGGAGAGTGAAAGGTTACTGGTTTGATCCCCAGCTCCATCAGATGTTAAAAGAGTGAGTGAGTGAGTTGGGTTTAACGCTGCTTTTAACAGTATTCCAGTTATATCATGGTGTGTCAGATTAATGTGGGAGGAAAGCCCAAAGTGATGCAGGTCCCAGACGTTTACCACTTCGGTGAAACCCACGAGCATGAGTATGGTGCTGACAAACCTTGAAACATAATCGGGGCGAACAGGCGTTCGAACCCAAAGTCATAGGTTTCTGGCGTGCACAAGGGACGTAACTCTGCATCGCGGCGACTTAGACGACTGGGCTACCTGTGCCCCCAGATGTTAAAAGAAGGTATATAGGGATAAAACAAGGACTGGTTGTCTAAGATTTAGTGAAGTGTGTCTGCATGTGGTATCCGTGTTTAACGCATTAGTTTGGACTAGTACAAGCAGCCACACACACACACGTTAAACCCCATTTCACCTCACCTTCCTCAGACTTCCCTTTTTGAACAACCCTGATAAAGCTCTTTTCAAAGCAACATTAACCCAACTCACTCACTTATATAACTTACATTGCAGTCAGCAATATTCCAGCTTTATCAAGGTTAATGTGAAAAAGCTTCTAAAAATAAAACAATTAATTTTCTTGATGCTGACTTCATATGTAGAATAGAGCTGGTTAGATTTGCTTTATATAAATCTAGATTTGTTTTGTTTTCATAAAATACATACTAGTGTATTCCACAGTCATGGTGCAGGATTACTTTTTTGGGTATCCGAAAAGTTGATGGAATACAACTTCAATGTTTTTGGACTGCAAATAGTCCTTTTTTCAAGAAAATCCAGGAATACTACTTTGCACATAAAGTTAAGCCACTAGGAAGTGGAAAAACAAATTGTGAGAGCAAAAAAAAAAAGAAACTTAAAATAGAAAGCTTTTAAATCCAGGGCAGAAGAAGTTATTTGGGGGCATGACACTTTTCAAGATGTACTTACAATATGGAGTTAGGGTTTTGCATATTAAATGAGACTAAAAATGTAAGATATCAACCCCTAAATTATCATCCCACATTACTTAAGTTTAAAAATAGCCAATTCTTGTCTCTTAAAAGGTGAGAAAAGTGGAAACGTGTTTACTTCTGCCAATAGACAAATTGACACAGAAACCAATGCAGTTAGAATTAAATGTCACACACACACTACATGCTGAACATGAATTCTGTGTTCTGGAGTTAAACTATACAGTATAGGTGAATCATGGTTTGTCATTTCATTGAACCATTTTTGCCATAAGAACTTAATTAATTTCCTAAATACAATCAGAATATGAATCTGTACCAAACACAATGCATGTTTTCAGCAAAACTGTTTGTTTTGTCTGAATTGCCTATTTACTGAAAGACTTTTTCTCAACGTAATTGCCAAACATGCTCAGTTGTTGACTGAGGCTGTCAACTTTTATGTTTGGGACTTTTTTCCTTTTCTTAACACCTCCTTATATAATACTAAAGGATAAAATAAAACCAAGGAACCCCTCAAACAGTTGACATTATGGAGCTGAATTTCTTGTCATACGCAGGAAATCACGGTACGATAAAATAATCAATCTGACATCACACAGAAAATACAAGGGAATATTACCTCTGCGTTTCTGTGTCCGTAGTAAGCGTCAGGTAAGACAAGAGCATACCCCCACACAACAGGAGAGAGAGGCTCGCTGCCTCCACGCCGGCTCTCATACTTGGTGTCAAGAGAATTGCCTCAGTCCCACCTTGCAGCTCAATAAACAGTATATCTGGCGGTGGCTCACGCAGCGTTGAAACTGTGTCTTGAGGGCCCAAGCATTATACCCTCGTTAGCTTTGATTTACGCTTCGCGCTCGGTTTGGCGCGCTCCGCAACCCGGCCGGGGATTCTCCAGTCCTGTCGTCTGCTCTAAAACATATCACAGTCAACATTTGTTGTCGAAAGTGTAATTTCTGTGTCGACATGGTATGTGTAACAACAGAATATGAGAAGGTTTTCGTTAAACAAGATGAATATTTTCATAACAGTTCAATGAAATACAGATAACATGTGATAGTGGTGTCGTCTGCTGGAAACGCTCCCTATTGCACTTCCGAGCGATGTTTTCATGTAACATAAACATTTCATACAACACTAGTGTTGCCGATGATAACAAGACAACCGGCAAGTGACTTATTAAACAAAAAACTCGTTGAACCAATAAATCACAAATGTAAAATCTTCACTTCCCGCTTAGTGTACTCAAATTCAAATTCAATTTATGGAACTTTGTCATCCCTGCTAATTTCAGATGAAGTTATTCAACAGTTTTAAGTTTAAACTTTTTGTGTCCGAAAGAAATAATTTTCAGGAAATAACACAATATAAAGAGAAACAGCATGGTGTTAAAAGGTATTTTCATGGCAACAATGTTGCAGAAAAACGTACACTCGTATCTGCCATAGGTTATATAGTCATATTTCACAGCGTTATACCTGAGTTATTTACTAAGCTTTAACACAGATGTACATCAATTACAGAATGTTAAAGCTGTAAAAATCAACTCACAAATCGTCCTGGAAAGATGTGCCATCGTTTTGCAGTCTTGTTAACAATGATTTAGTTCCTCCGCGCAGTTGGCGGCCTGGGATAAAAAGTAATCGTCTGCTGTTTTATTGTTGGTCGTAAATCCGTCAACAGAAACCGCTAAAAGGCGATTTGAAGTGGGTGGAACTCTTCCCGTTGTAAATGATGGAGTAACACCAAGTCGCATTTGTGTAAAGAAAACTCTATTTTTCTCCCAATGTGATCTTAAATGTCAAGGGGTAGGTTTACGCGTTGTGATAATCTATTGTAGGAAACTCCTGCCCTTCCAGATACAACTGACGTTCACCAAACTCATATACACATCGGCATCGAAGCTCAGATTACACGGCAAATAAATCACCCGATGGCAGCTCGAGTTGGTTTTGTGCGTAGACAAATCTAAACTTCCCGGGCGAAGAGTCTCGTGTAGAAATACTTCGTACCGCATGACGGCTGTGTTGGCTGAGTGTGCTGAAAACACACTCAACTCACATGGTAGTTTTGACAGGTCGAAACCATTATTTTGTTTGGGGGGAGTCAGGTCGGTGTACATCTCCCAAACCAGCGTCGGGTGTGTATATCCATCGACATCATCTACTGCATATTTAAACAAAGACACAGAGAAAGACCTGACACATCTGACACGGTGATATCTCATCAATAAAAGAAATCGAATAAACTCTCCATATCCTGACACCCCCACACCAACATGCCAACAGAAATGTCAAGATAATTTCCACAGAGGAACGCACACCGGCAGAGCTAAATGTTTTTAATCATATATGACAAATTAGTCATGCGTTCGACATACAGAATCGTACTGGTACTTGAAAGGCCTGCCACAAAAAAAGCTTCACAAATTAATCGAGAATTTAACAAAGCGCTTGGTGGGAATGGCCGGCACTATCGACATTATTCCCTGCTGCTCTGGCCAAAGTTATTTTGAAAAACGAGTCCCGAGGAGCAGACAGTATAGACCTCGACTGACGAGGGCGAAAGGGTTGGGCGTGCTGTCACTCAAATCAGATATTCCGGAGTTTGATTGACAGCAAAGTAACGTATACGTGACATAGGTTTCCTTGGCTTCGCGATGCACGCGCACTAAAGGGAATTGGAAAAGGGAATGGAGAGGGTAGCGTCACGCTCTTCACTTTCAAGTTGATTCGGGCTGTCAGGCCGAGCCGGGCTTTGGAAATGGATAATTGAATTTAGCATCAAACGTACGAGCATTTAATTATCTTCCGATATAGATCCCGCTTCCGCCGGACGGTTAGCTGATTAGCAAAATTGATTTTTTTTGCGAGTCCCTTCTTCCAGTTTTGTGAAGAGACGTAAAGATTTTGTACTAGTCTGAGTGGCCATGTTTGTTCTGTAAAACTGTGAGATTATTTGTCTTGATATCTCATGGATATGGTCACACAATCCGCGCGACACCAGGAGGTCGTATGTATACTCTGGGATAGGGTCTTGTTCAGTGTGTTTGTGAATACACGCATGGACTGTACCGATATCCATATGAAATAAACTGCCGTGCAAAAAGAAAGAATAAATACACTTGGAAACTGGATTTTACCAAAATATAAAAAATACAAACGTTATGAAAACATAACTTAGTTGAAAACATTCCCCGAAGCAAGCTAACACAAGGTCCAAAAAGAACTGTGACACCCGTATAAAAATACATCATCGAATGACCATTTCTTGTTTGTTTCATTGTTAGCCACCATCAGGCATAGGTGAGATATTTGTGGAGCAACCGCGGAGATAATTTTTCATATATCTCACATGCTGGACTTGATTCGCTATATCGATTATCTACAATGTATATGTAGGACGCGAATGTCATGCACCGAAGCCTTGCATTGTCCAGATTTACAAAAGTATAAAAGTGTAATTTATATCCGTCGAACCGCGATACCATTTTCAGTTCCCTTAATTCTATGCATTAGGTGACTGTCCCGTCTTCCCAATGTACAGTTTCTAACGTGAAAACGAAACGATTTTGCCTTTTGATTGTTCACTTTGCGGAAGGGAGGTCGATCATTAGTACTAACGGCCCTGCATGGTACTCGTTGTGCGGCCATTGCCATTTTCAGCCTCTTCGGAACCCATGGCTTTGGGTTGTGCACCCGACTACAGCACGATTCAGCTCAGCTTATAAACGGATATTGCACTCATATAGAAGCTTAAAAACATGCAAGAGAAGTACAGTAAACTACGTTTATAACGAACACGCTTATAACGAACCGACGGATATAGCGAACTTACTTTTTTGTCCCGACTATTTGCTGTAGTTATGCTGTATATATGCTTATAACGAACTACGGTTATAACGAACTAAATAAGTGGTCCCTTTGATTTCGTTATATCCGTAGTTTACTGTATTGATATACTTACTAATGTTTTCACCAAAACACTATACCATACCATGATACCATGTCATGTTTTGATTCTCTAACCTCAAAACAAGGCTTGAACAAAGATATTTCTTAATTTTCGCACCCCCACAATCCCACGCCCCTTTTACAAGTATATATTGTTTCTACAGACTTTTCAAACTCAAATTCCGTTTTCGCGCCTGATTCCGACTTTTCACATGCCATTCCTAGTGATGCCTTCCATTTCTTTATTCCAATTGTGTTTGAGACTTGCAAACGTGAAGCAATTTTGGAAGAACGTCAGGATAATTAAGAACATAGTTTGGTGAACATACTTAAAGAATCCAGAAAGATACCGAACAATGAAATTATTTAATGAACAGTCACGAAAATGTTTTCACAAATATGTTATAATGTTTATTTCGTAGTCATGAATTGACTTAGGTGGAACAAGAGGACGATTAGAAATTTAGAAAGAATTTAAAGCTGAAATAACGCCGCACGCAGCAATATTCCAGCTATATGACGGCGGTCTGTAAATAATCGTGTCCTGACCAGACAATCCAGTGATTGACATCATGAACATCGATCCACGCAATTGGGATCGATGACATGCATCAACCAAGTCAGCGAGCCTGACCACCCGTTCCCGTCAGTCGACTCTTACGACAAGCATAGGCTCATTTTACAGCAATAGTAACTTCTCATAATGGTCACCTGGCGGTAGAACATACATACATATAGTCCTTCTTAATAACTGTGCGACCCGTGAAGATCCGGGGTAGAATGGGTCTCTAGGAACCCATGCTTGCCGTAAATGGCGACTATGCTTGTCGTAAGAGGCGACTAACGGGATGGGGTGGTCATGTCATCGATCCCAATTCCATGATGTCAATCACTGGATTGTCTGGTCCAGACACGATTATTTACAGACCGCCGTCATATAGCTGGAATATTGCTGAGTGCGGCGTTAAACAACAAACAAACATTAAAGCGGATGTGTTTTTGAGTGAGTGAGTGATTTGATAGGCGCATCGCCAACAGGCCTTGGCCACCTTGCTTCATCTGCGGTCATCTATTATTTTACGGGTCTCACCTGTAGCTATGAGCTGCAAATATGGACAGGGAGTAGCCGAGTCCAACCCATTCTGAGCAGTCATTGATCTCTATTTCCCGTTTATTTGCCAGTTTTACCGAGAGATAAGCATGTGAGGTAGCTATGTGAACTCGACAGTATATAGTGGTAGTAGTAGTGAAGTGAACTTGAGTTTAACGTCGCGTACAAGATAATTTAACACTTCTAACTCGGAATTTCACAAGGGGAGACGAGCATCGGTTGCTGAAAACCAATACTAACCCGGATCTTCTCGAGGGGAGACAAACATAGGTCACTGAAGATCAATACTAACCCGGATCTTCCAGAGGAGAGACAAGCATGGGTCACTGAAGACCAATACTAACCCGGATCTTCTAGAGGGGAGATAAACATAGGTCACTGAACACCAATACTAACCGGGATATTCTCAAGGGGAGACAAACATAGGTCACTGAAACCAATACTAACCCTGATCTTCTCGAGGGGAGACAAACATAGGTCACTGAAGACCAATACTAACCGGGATATTCTCAAGGGCAGACAAACATAGGTCACTGAAGACCAATACTGAACCGGATCTTCTCAAGGGGAGACAAACATAGGTCACTGAAGTCCAATACTAACCCGGATCTTCTCGAGGGGAGACAAACATAGGTCACTGAAGTCCAATACTAAACCGGATCTTCTCGAGAGGAGACAAACATAGGTCACTGAAGACCAATACTAAACCGGATCTTCTCGAGGGGAGACAAACATAGGTCGCTGAAGTCCAATACTAACCCGGATCTTCTAGAGGGGAGACAAGCATGGGTCGCTGAAGACCAATACTAACCGGGATATTCTTGAGGGGAGACAAACATAGGTAACTGAAGACCAATACTAACCGGGATATTCTCGAGGGGAGACAAACATAGGTCGCTGAAGTCCAATACTAACCGGGATCTTCTCGAGGGGAGACAAACATAGGTCACTGAAGTCCAATACTAACCCGGATCTTCTAGAGGGGAGACAAGCATGGGTCGCTGAAGACCAATACTAACCGGGATATTCTCGAGGGGAGACAAACATAGGTCGCTGAAGACCAATACTAACCGGGATATTCTCGAGGGGAGATAAGCATGGGTCACTGAAGACCAATACTTACCGGGATATTCTCGAGGGGAGACAAACATAGGTCGCTGAAGTCCAATACTAACCGGGATCTTCTCGAGGGGAGACAAACATAGGTCGCTGAAGTCCAATACTAACCCGGATCTTCTAGAGGGGAGACAAGCATGGGTCGCTGAAGACCAATACTAACCCGGATATTCTCGAGGGGAGACAAACATAGGTTGCTGAAGACCAATACTAACCGGGATATTCTCGAGGGGAGACAAACATAGGTCACTGAAGACCAATACTAACCGGGATATTCTCGAGGGGAGACAAACATAGGTCGCTGAAGTCCAATACTAACCGGGATCTTTTCGAGGGGAGACAAACATAGGTCGCTGAAGTCCAATACTAACCGGGATCTTCTCGAGGGGAGACAAACATAGGTCGCTGAAGTCCAATACTAACCCGGATCTTCTAGAGGGGAGACAAGCATGGGTCGCTGAAGAACAATACTAACCGGGATATTCTCGAGGGGAGACAAACATAGGTCGCTGAAGACCAATACTAACCGGGATATTCTCGAGGGGAGATAAGCATGGGTCACTGTAGTCCAATACTTACCGGGATATTCTCGAGGGGAGACAGACATAGGTCGCTGAAGTCCAATACTAACCGGGATCTTCTCGAGGGGAGACAAACATAGGTCGCTGAAGTCCAATACTAACCGGGATATTCTCGAGGGGAGACAAACATAGGTCGCTGAAGACCAATACTAACCGGGATATTCTCGAGGGGAGATAAGCATGGGTCACTGAAGACCAATACTAAACCGGATCTTCTCGAGGGGAGATAAGCATGGGTCGCTGAAGACCAATACTAACCGGGATATTCTCGAGGGGAGATAAGCATGGGTCACTGAAGACCAATACTAAACCGGATCTTCTCGAGGGGAGATAAGCATGGGTCACTGAAGACCAATACTAACCGGGACATTCTCGAGGGGAGACAAGCATGGGTCGCTTAAGACCAATTCTAACCGGGATATTCTCAAGGGCAGACAAACATAGGTCACTGAAGACCAATACTAAACCGGATCTTCTCAAGGGGAGACAAACATAGGTCACTGAAGGACAATACTAACCCGGATCTTCTCGAGGGGAGACAAACATAGGTCACTGAAGTCCAATACTAAACCGGATCTTCTCGAGAGGAGACAAACATAGGTCACTGAAGACCAATACTAAACCGGATCTTCTCGAGGGGAGACAAAGATAGGTCGCTGAAGTCCTATACTAACCCGGATCTTCTAGAGGGGAGACAAGCATGGGTCGCTGAAGACCAATACTAACCGGGATATTCTCGAGGGGAGACAAACATAGGTAACTGAAGACCAATACTAACCGGGATATTCTCAGGGGAGACAAACATAGGTCGCTGAAGTCCAATACTAACCGGGATCTTCTCGAGGGGAGACAAACATAGGTCGCTGAAGTCCAATACTAACCCGGATCTTCTAGAGGGGAGACAAGCATGGGTCGCTGAAGACCAATACTAACCGGGATATTCTCGAGGGGAGACAAACATAGGTCGCTGAAGACCAATACTAACCGGGATATTCTCGAGGGGAGATAAGCATGGGTCACTGAAGACCAATACTTACCGGGATATTCTCGAGGGGAGACAAACATAGGTC